ACAAACACTGGAGGACCTGGTTCAAAGATATAAAATATATAAGTTATTATTTATAAGTTTATTGACTTGACGCGATCAGTGGAGGTTCTTACTGAGAGTACAGATACTACACAAACCTGACAATAACCAAGTTTAATTTGAGTTTGTCAGGGAATTAACATAGTGACAGTTGATATGACCGGCTGCCAGTGCCGGTGTGTTACCTGAGTTTAATCACATCCCTAACCCCACTCAGTTATTTCTGCTACACTTAAAGGTCCAGTGTGTAACATTTAGGAGGATCTATTGGCAGAGGTATGTTTTCATTAGTGTAAAATCACCTGAAAATGAGGATCCTTGTTCACATTTTTCATGACTGCTGTTGTTTCTCCTACACACTTGGAATGGGAGGATGAGGCGAGTTGGTTGCAATCTGCAATCTCACCACTATATGCAACTAAATCCTACACTCTGGTCCTTTAATTATAACCGAGCCTAAGCCCTTACAACAATCTCTCCAATTCTCATAGAAGGGAATCACTATCTGAAGACTTCCTAAAAATGGGAAGCATACCTGAATGTGTTGTAAACTGCTCTTGGCTAAAGTTAATTAGCGATGTAGCTTAGCGAATCTGTGCATTTTGCCAACCTCAGTGTCAGAGCGTAGTCCTCAGTTGCAATTCAGTGCGAGCAAGTACTGTGGTCGCGCCTGGTTCAGGGCCCAAACCATTTCACGTACAGGAAATTGGCCAAGAAAATAGAAAATAAACTGCCCATTGTAAATCAAATATTCTATTCATGATGATTAATAGAGTCGGTTTCATAAGTCACGGGCCCTTAGATATTTTTTTACTTTTCTTTTTTTTGTATGGTGCCCCTGCTCAGTCACTCATCAGTGCGCCCGAACAATTTTGTCACATTCACACACTCTAATTTTTCACTAGCATATGGAATGAAAAGCTGCACTGTGGAGCCCGGCAGCTGTGCTAAAGGAGAGGAGAGCTTCAACAGTAGCAGGCTGAGGTGAACAAAACGCTTTATTTTAGCTGATACCGATGCCTAAAGGATTGGCTCTGGACGTGTCTAATACACACAAACACATACACATTTGACTTCACTTTGTCCCCCCCTCTCCCCCGCCCCTTCAGAAAACAAACCTACGCTCTTCTACCAGATACACAGTCCTTTCTTCTTCCAGGAGTGAGATTATTTTTCTCAGTTGGTGTTTCTCTGACAAGCAGAGAGTGAAGCAGAGGTCGAGGTGTTGAAGCACCCAGTGTGGGTATTCCCATTTTGCTTTTTCACAGGTTCTCCTCTCCAGTAGCTGGTTATACAAACACAAACCGTCGCCCACCTGTGTCCACTCTGTGAGCAGGATGTGTGGGCCCGCGCTGCCAAACACACAGTCTGTGTTCTCTGCTGCGATAAGGACGGAGCGACTATTTCAACCATTTGCAGCCTCAGTCGCTGCCTGATCCACCAGTAAGACTTCATTTAAGAAGAGCTGGGGGAAAGATGAACACTAGTCATCTTGGCACTTTGAATTAATTGAGCTGAGCTGCAAACTGAAGCCTAATTAACATCTGAAATGTTAAACTTGATATCACTCCTCCTGATTATCTGTGCTGAAACAAGGCTGTGGGTTTGCAGCACGCAGCCTGCCTATCTCTCCAGCTGCATCCGCTCTGTACTTTTCTATTTATCAATTTCTCCCCCCACCCCGATTTTTTGGTTTAAAATGTGCAAACTACCTATAATTAAATGTACTCGCTTTTTAAGACCCAATTTCCTGAGCAGGAAGTCATTTGAATTAGAATTGAAATGAATCTGACCCCGGTAAGTAAATGCACTGGCCCCCTTTTTCCACTCCCTTGCCTCTTCTGGGCCGGGGATCATTCATGAATCACAAATGACAAATCTGAGTTTATTTCCTGCCATTTTGATCTTGGGATTCAAAGCGAGTGGCTCATTGTGCTGATACAAAAGCAACACACTCACACACACACACACACACACACACACACACACACACACACACACACACACACACACACACATACACAGTGAGCCAAGAGTGTGATGTTCTGATCTCGTCTTGACTCTGTTTGCCAATAAAATAATGGCCTGGCAGGGATAAAGGCCAGTCACTGTCACAATTACACTCCAGCTGTGATTCACCCTATGTGCATTAATGTAATCATTGTAGGAACAGTTGATACACCTCAGCACTGTATCAGCATTCAGTGTTGTCTCTTTTATCTACCCAGGCAAGGTTGCCTGAGCTCTTTTTTTTTCTTTCCAGAAACTCTTTGTGACACCTTCACAAACTCACATCTGCAGTTGTACCAGTGAAACCGCAGTTGTCTATCGTTGACACCTGAGCGGCTTCTCAGGAACAGCTGAGGTGTAAATGCGATCAGAAGTGGATAGGTAGATACCAAATGAAACATTTTTTTTAATAGAGGTGCCAGTGGGATATTTGAATTTCAGAGTGGATACTCAAAGATCCCCTTTAGACATATTAAATACATATATACAAATATTCTGCTTGTAACATTAATGTGTGTCTGATAAGTTTTTTCAGCAAAAAAAATAAAATTTCCATATTAAATCCTTAAAAAGGCATCCACTCCTTCCACCTCATTAAAAACCCCAGAATCTATCAATATGCAAATGTTGTTTATTTCTAAAGTTTTCCAGTCCATTCTCGGTGTATGTGCACTGGTGGCTTTAGGTTTCTACACCACATTAAGTTGCATACCAAACCAGGATTACTGAGTACTGTATTTAACTTGTACTTTACTTGAGAATTTCTATATTCCGCCACTTTATACTTCTACTCCACTACATTCATTTTGATATAGTTAGTCGCTACTTTTCAATTTAAGATTTTACATTAAAAACATTTGATATAAGCTTACAAAAAACAATACTTTGTGACGGTTGAGTAACAGAGTTGTTAAGAGTTCCACCAAATAGAGATTTTCCCTCTAAACTTCTTACATGGTTTCTCTTAAACTTTTTGAGCTACAAAGAAGTGACATTATCTAATATTTCACAAACGCCTGAATAAATAACACAAGATTTTGAAGCTGAATTTGAAGGACCTCTCACATTGTTGTATTGGTACTTTAAGTAAAGGATCTGGGTACTTCCACCACTGAGCTCTGGCACCAACCATCAGCAAAGATTTGGGGTTGAATGTCTTGCTCAAGGAGACTCAAGGAGTGAGAGTGAATTAAAACAGTAAAGTTGTGGGTTGAACAACTAAACAATGAGTTTAAACTCCTAAAAAAAAGCTCTGTAAAGCTGAGGGGAGCTGCAGATTCAGGTGCATTGTCATTCAATCCATCGTTATTGTAAAAAATATCAATTATAGCATCTTCAGATTATACTTTTTGGACAGTTTTGGATGAACAGAAGGTGCACAGAGTCTTGCTGCTTATCACAGGAGCATGAAGAGCATGAAGTCAGACACCGCGGCCTTTCGGGATCTCACAGCTGAAGAAGATGAGCAGATTTGTAACGCTCTGTGCCCTCACAAGGTTACGGTGTCAGAGTCAGCACCCAATGCCTCCACTGGAACATGACAGGAAGCACGCCGCCTCCGTCTGACGGGGCAGACAGAGGCGGGCGTCTGGAAACCTGCGTTCAGGGTGCGAGGCTGTTTGACATCTCGGTGAGCACCAAACACAGGCCAGGTCAAAGGTTACATGACGGGCAGCATAAAGCCCAGCCATCATTAAAGGGTTGTCAAGGTCAGGCCCGCCGACAGAATCACCATCTCTGCTACCATGACTGCACTTTTGGGGCTTCACTATGAAAATAAACACCCTGTCACATCCTCTTTAACTGGACAGAACCCCCTGCAGTGTCCCTTAATTAGGGCTAGACCATTGTATTGGTTTGCCAATATATCAGGCTGATATATGATGAAGGTTCTTCCCTAACTACAGCTCCTGAATATGTTATTATTTCATTATTTAAACTCTAATGTCTGACAAGAGAAACTGTTCCAGAGTGGTGTGGGAGGCTTTTATGCAACAGCTTCAGGCTGCAACCAGAAACCTGCTTAACCCTGCCTGCAGGAGCTGAACACCCAAAGAGGGACTATATTATTCTGGATTTGATGGTCTATATCTAAGGCTTTTTTTTTTTTGCTATGACCCCTGAAATGAAACAGCGTATACCAGCATGTGTCTGTTCAAACGAGAGGGGATTTTTCTTTGTGAGAGAGACATGTCAAACAATCCAGTATTACACTGAAAAAGTTTGAACAAGACATAAAATGTGAAAGCAGAATTCCTATTTTTCTTCTTTTTGGATTTATCTTGCAAACAGAGACCTGCTTCACTCCGCCTGCAGTATCTGAACACCCTACAGGAATGTATTAGATAGGTTTAAAGTAAGTTTTAGTCCTGATGGTCTGTATCTAACCATTAAAAAGAAGCAGCGACCTTGTCACAGGTGATTTTTTCTTTGTCTAACTGTTTCATTACAGACGTGAAAAGTAAAACTATCCAGTATTTCACGAAGAAAAACAATAATTAGAGAAAGGTTAGAACAAGAAACAAAATGTTGTAGCAGAATTTGAAGATTTTTTCTTCGAGTAACAACCTCATGACCCCTCTGATTTACCTAGCAACACCTTTTCAAACCCTCTGGAATTTAGTTTTATGAATGTTGTCAGCTTTACTCATCTCCTACTATCACTGGTGGCTATAACACACTTTAAACACCGATGTCAGTCAAACCCTGCGGTGCACTTCATGTAGGAGGGGGAAACAGAGGGATAAAGGGGGAAACCTTACACTTGCAAGTGTCATGGAAGGAAAAGATGAAGAAGAACATGACATCCAACAGTACTAATGTGTGTGATGCACACACATGGAGGACACTGACAGCTGTAAAAACCCTCAAATGAAACCATGTTGGGAAAGTTTGTCAAGCACCAGAAGAGCATCAGCATCAGCATCAGCACCATCAGAGACACACACACACACACACACACACACTCTCACCTTCCAAGCAGCATGTCCTCCACAGGCCCGAGTGGGTCATCACCTCCTCGTTCTTCTTGCTGGTCTCGTTCTCGCTCATGGACTTGGTCTTGCAGACGCCGCGGGAGTACAGCCAGTAGTCCGTGCCGACCGCGATGGTCATGAGGCTGAAGGCCGCGAAGGCTCCCACCGTGGTCAGCAGCATCTGGACTCCGCGGTCGAACAGACCCATGTTTCCGCATTCCATGAAAGGGGGACCCCCTTTCCTCTTGATGTACAGGAAGTAAATATTTGAAAATTTGCGGGACCAAACCAAACCGAAAAAACGGGATATACTCGAGCGGAAGGAGAGGGAAGAAGGAGGAGGAGGATGCGGTAGGAACCTTATGGTTGCGTTTGGGTGAGAACCAAAACAAGAGAAAAACTGAGGGTTGTTTGGTTTTTTGGGGGGGAGGGGGTGGAGGAAGAGGCAGTGATGTCTCTCTCCTCTCTGTTTGTTCTTACTTTTATATAACCCCCCCCAAAAAAAGGAAGATTTAAAAAATCAGGTGTGCAGAGGATGACAGCTCTTCAGCAGAGCTTCAGCTGCAGATGTAGCAGCAAAAAAAAAAAAAAAAAAAAGCTACAAGCACTGAGCTATAAAGGATTAATTATGTCCTAAAGCCTATAGTGGCAGAGCCCAGCCTAAAAATGGCAGTGAGATAAACCAAACTGAGGTTTATTCTCTACAGGCCTGCAAAGAGAGGGGGAATAAAACTGTTTCTTGACTTGTAAAGGTTACAGCTAAGCACAGAGCTGAATTAACATGAGCTCAAATGGAGCACAGAGATGGTTGGGGGCGGTGTTAGAGTAATGGCAGGCTTACAGTACAACAGTTCAATATGTCTGTTACAGGGAGTTACAGTTACTTTAGTCAGAGGTTATAACATTGCGTTTACTAGTAAGAATTCTGAATTATAACTATACCAAAAAAAGCTACCCTAAAGACTATTATTAATATTATTATTCTAACGTGTTGGGTTTAGGCAAAAAGGGGGGAAAGCAAGGAGATAATAAACCGGGGAGGGAAACGAAGGACAGCAGGGAGATCTATCATATTAGTGGAAACAAAAGAGAATAAACAAATGGACGGATTCAAGTCCTGTCGAGGGGGAATAAAAGCAAATATCGGGGTGTTTTATAGCGACCTATTGTTGAGTTAAAAGAAAATATCACGCTGGTTTCTCACAAATCAATCCTACACACGATGGAATGAGGAAATCAAGGCTCAACAAATAAATTAATTAATTTGGCAGGCTTTTTTTTTTTATAGAAAAACACACACTAAAACAGATAGAAACCGATAAAAACCTAAAAAAAAAAAAAAAAAAAAAAAATTAACCGCGTAGATTTTCCTTTTTCCTAAAATTTTGATCCCCAGTTTCCATATGTAGCCCTATAGCTCTGGGAAGGTTTCCGCCGAAAATGGGGGTCTGCGGTCAGAGGAGGTTCGGTCGTCGACGATCCGGAGAGAGCGGGGAGCATCCAGCAAGGCAAGCCGACCATCACTCGACATAGAGCCGGCAGGAGGAGGACGAGGAGTCGGTGTGGGCGCCGCCGCAGCCGAGGATGCTTCTTCCGTGGATGGAGGAGGACGCTGCCGCCGCCGCCGCCGCCGCCGCCGCCGCTGCCTCTGCCGCCGCTTGGGTATCCAAATTCACCGTGGCAGTATCACACCCAGGACGGTCCCGTTTGTAAAGCCCTTGCGCCATGTAATAATAAGAAAAATAAATTCTGATGAATGTTGCAATCCTCCTGTTTTCCCCTCCTCCTCCTCTCTTCTTCTTCTTCTTCTTCTTCTTCTTCTTCTTCCTCTTCCTCTCCTCCTTGCGCGCTCGGGTGCAGGTTTTTGCCGCGTGCAGGAAGAAGGCAAAAAAATAAAAAATATTACACAATCTGGGGAGCGACTCGCACAGATCCACAGACAGAGCTGGTGTTGTCACGATGTCAGTGTCAGCGGCGCTATAGCCTACATTCAATACATTCAGGTTGCCCCCCCCCCCCACCTCACACACACACACACACACACACACACACACACACACACACACACACACACACGCACACACACCCACCCTGCTCTGGGATGATGAGTAATGTCAGTGTAAAGAAGCTGCTCTTAATTCTGCAGGCGAGTTTTTATTCTTTCTTTCTTTCTTTCTTTCTTTCTTTCTTTCTGGTGACGTTTTTGAAGAACTACAGTGTTTGCATGCATATATATGTGTGTGTGTGTGTGTGTGTATGTGTGTGTGTGTGTGTGTGTGTGTGTGTGTGTGTGTGTGTGTGTGTGTGTGTGTGTGTTCTGTGCTGCAGCAATGGAGGCTCGTTGCTGGAAAGATATTAAAGATTTTTTAATTCCGTTTTTTTCTGTGAGTGGAGGGGGCGGAAGGAGGGGGTGTTGCGATGGTGGACTCTCTCTCTCTCTCTCTCTCTCTCTCTCTCTCTCTCTCTCTCTATTTGGGAAAAAAGGTAGATGGAGGATAACTGAGTTGCATTTGCGCACACGGGCTGAGATTTATGCATTTGTGTCTTATTATTGTCCGATCCAATTGTTGCAGCGCTCCCTCACGCACGTCCCCGCCACTCTTCCCCGAAGTAATCTCACTAAATGTCCGACTTGCGGCTTCACTGTCATTAATAAGTGCGATTTTTTTAGGCTGCAGCTCTCGCAAGCTTTAAAGACAGATACGGTGTCATCCTCTGATTAGATGATTCTCCATGAATGACAACTAGCAGCGAGGATGAGGCCGGACTCTGGACTCTGGTGGTGAGGGTTCGTGAGTGGTGAGTTTCTGAACTCAGTGTTGAATTCATCATATTTTTAAAAAGAAAGAAAGAAAGGGAAAGACGGACTCCTGTGTAATTAGTGTGCAGCATTAGCACAGAGATCAGTGTTTGTGTGTGTGTGTGTGTGTGTGTGTGTGTGTGTGTGAGGATGTGGTGCTGAAAGGACAGCTCCTTCCAGCTCTGCTCCCCTCCCTCTGTGGAGTTTGTCTCCCCCTGCTGTTCAAACATCGTTATCACAACTAATAAAATATAAAAACTTTTCAATTTTATTCTCTTGTGGATGTTTAATTTTTGTGTAACATCTTGGGCGCCTCATTCCAGCCTCTCATCTTGTGTCTCTCTCATCTTGTGTGTGTGTGTGTGTGTGTGTGTGTGTGTGTGTGTGTGTGTGTGTGTTTCTTTTCTTTCCCTTATCTGTGCGAATGCTTGTGTGTTTGAGTAGTCGTCCCTCTTCCAGGTCTCCATGGCCAAGAGGAGGTCATGTGGCTCAGGTCTGTTTGGAGACACCTGAAGTTGCTTCTGGATCCATATTCTTTGTGTATTGTATATTTACAATCTATCTATAATATCGTCATCCTGATTATTTATACTGTAATTTTACTGTGTTGGTTTGTTCTGTACATGTATTGGACATCTGCATCCCTCCTCTGATTCTCCTCCTGAGGTTTCGTCCTTATCTGAATGAAGAGTATAAGGATAGAGGGTATAATACACTATACAGACTCTACAGCCCTTTGTGGTAAATTTAAAGAATATAAATACTTCTTCTACTGCTGGAATTCAATCAGACTTGCCTGATCTGCACTTGGTAGGAGGAATCTACCTAATCACTTGTTCTGGTCTGGGTTTTTTCACTTTTATTCTCTCTCTGCATCAAACATTTGAGTCTCATACATGCTTCAACATGCAGCTACTCAGTGGCTCAGGGATCATAAATGCTGAACTAAGGAGCAACAGAAATCAGCCTGTCCAAACGTGTCTCTGACCGGATCATCTGAGTATCTGACATGTGGCCCCGAGGCCTGAGAGAATCATGATGATGACTTTTTTCACAAGGGGATGTCCAACATGCACAGGCGCTCTCTGACGTCGTTGGTTACATGAACAACATTTCCACCCAAAACAAAGCGTAGCTCACGATGTGCTGACACAGGCCTTAATGTGGACGATGGGAAATTCTGACATGAAAATGACAATTTTTAGTCTGTTTTAGATTTATTATTTCACAAGAATAAGATATGTATGACATTTTTGAACATGGGACTTGCTTTGTTCTGTAATGTGTCTTTGGTGAAGAGCTTTCTGCAGCTCACAAAAGAGGAAATTGTTTCCTTTGTGACTGAAAGTTAAATGGCGAAAAGTCTAAAGCAATTTGAAAAAAGGTCAGTTTAAAGCTAGTGGACAGGAAAAAATATATAGTTACTCAAATCCTCGGGACACAGTAAAGGTATGTTTTCATTAGTGTGTAATCATCTGTTTTCATTTTGAAAGCTTCACGGCCACCGTAGTTTCTCCTTTGCGTTTGGTTGAATCAAGAGGTTTCAGCTGCAATCTTCAATCTCACTTCTAGATGACACTAAATCTTACTCACTGGCCGTTTAACCCCAAACTGCTCCTTATGGTTGCACCGTCAGTGTGTAGGTGTGTGTATTGGTGAGTTTAGTAATATGTTGAGCGTTTTGCATAGAAAGCACTGTATCGCTCCTGATTAGCAGCCTGGCACCTTGCATGGCAGTGAATGTGAAAAATGTTGTAAAGTGCTTTAAGTGGTCGTTAGAGCGGAAAAAAGGAAAGTCCATTTACCATTACACCTTTAATGTTTTTTTGCAAGTTTGGAGGCCACCATAGTTTCCAAGCGCAAGGGAGAAACTATGTTGGCCGTCAAACACACAAAAACATGAACAGGCCTATATAGAAGCAGTGTTTGGTTAGTCCCTTCTGGGCTACTGTAGAAACATGCCACTGTCCATGGAAGGTGACCTGCAGCGTCTGTATTTAGAAACAAAAAGATAAGGATTGTTATTTTCAGGTGATTATACACTAATGAAAACATAGATACACGTATATCCCATTTCTGCCAATAAATTAGGCTCCTAAATGTTAAACACTGGACTTTTAATTAATTTTATTTTTACTTCTCTTTTGTAGTTTATTTGATCAAAAGGAAATATAACTGTCAAATAAATGTAGTGAACTAAAAAGTACAATATTACAGATTACAGTAATTTGGTTATCGACAGTCAGGAATAGATCCAACGATCTGTGTTGCTGAGGTTTCTAGGTCTGGATGTGCCGCTCTCCATGAAGTCTGTTCCTAAACAACCTTCAGAAACCGGTGTTAATAAACTCTCGCTGAAGCAGAACCTCTCTTGCAGATACCAACATTTTCCCTGAAGAGAGACCTTGAGCTCTGACTAAAGACCTCTCTGATTCTCCATCTCTGCCAGGATTTGGGACATCCTTCGTTTTCATTAAACAATTATCCCTGACAGGCGAGGAGGTTGCGCAAATCAGGTCCCAGGCCTGCACCCATACTGGTCCCACGTGGACTCTTTATGCCAATCTGACAGTAACTCAGCATGCTGCAAATCCATCCATAATCGGGGCCTTGTTAGAGTGCCCCTCGAGCATTGGCTCAGGGAGTTCTTCCAGTAAATTGCCCTCTGGAGTAAAAGAAGGGAGAAGGAGGAGAAAAAAAAAACATTCTCTCTTAAAGGTGGTCGCACTTTGAACGTTTCTATCCTCAGTAATTGAACCCCGATTAATTATTGGGTGAGGATGCACCCATGGGCCCAACATTTCCTCCCTGCAGAAAGGCAAATTAGATGCACAGAGAGCAGTTAGAAGAGGTTGGATTTGATTAAAACAATAAATAATATCCTTTTTTAAAAGTTTTTCTATTTTCTTTTCCGTCTCATAAAGTAATTACCTTTTTATTATTTCTCGCACATCTTTGTTGCTGTCATGATAAAAGGTTTTATGAAACAAGGACAAGAACCCGACCGATGCTCTTGGCACTCATGAGGCCAATACTGAAAATAATAACAAACTTATAATACTGACAAACTTTTTCATCTAAAAATGTGTTGGCAATTATATTAAAAACAGTGAAGACAAATATATCTAAGGCAAGATATATAAGATTTGAATCTAATATCTAATTTGAATCAGAATACATTTTATCATAAAAGATAAGAGTAATAAAATATAAAAGATAAAACATCACTTGAAAAAAACTTTAAATTAAATTAAATTTTAAATCTGAAAAAAAAAATTAGGGTCAGACTGAAGTACTGAGTGCAATTTCTATTTGCATATTTGCCAAAAGTACACCGATACTGCCCATTGTAGTAGAAGTTTTTATTCAGTTTCAGTTTGAGCCACTTGGTTTCCTACGTTTCTACTCTTAAACATTCAACTATGCATCCTTCTCAAATAGGAGGGTTACTCACAAATACAAAACAAATACAAAAGTAAGTAAGAAACTTTTAGCACCTTTTAAAACAAAGTTACAAAGTGCTGCACAACATGTATACATAGAGAAAAGTAAAAAGCATACAGCATATGTACAATATGCTGAAAGATACAGAAATCCCAGTAACAGAGAGGAAAAGTTGCTCACAACACCACAAATTATAGCCTCCAAAATGATTATAAAGATGAATCAATGCCTAAATAACATTATAACCTTCATTATGGGAGGATTTATTTCAGGATTGTTGTATTTGATTGCATTAGTTTTAGCTAGGTGTACCTAATAAACTGGCACTGAGTATGTAAGTCTACTGATACTACGGTCAAATTGCTGACTGAAACCTTAAAACTAAAGAGTAAAATTCCACACTGATACACACGCCTTAAAAAAATAATGATTAGAACTGACACATTCACACTTACATTACTGGAATCTGACGAGTATGTTAAAGTCCCCATCTACTCAAAATCATGTTTTTCTTCTTGTTTGTACAGTTGGATGTTTGAGCGTCCCTGAGCAGAGGGATGTATGTGCAGAGTTTGGCACTAGAAGGATGTTTTCACATTCATCTGCTGAAAGTTAAAAGTTTCTTTGAGCTCATTGATCTGATTTTAAGGGGCGGGGTCTACAAATATAATTTGTGACATCACAAATAGTTTGGAAGTCAACCTTGGTCCAGTTTGCAACTTATATAAGTGTGATGTAGAAACTTGAAGCCTCCAGTG